TTTGAGACTTGTTTACGTGTCTTCTCATTTCCACGGGAGGGGGTGCTTCTGGCGCCCATGCGGCTCACCTTCTCTGCCCTAGGAGCTTGGAATGGCAGCGGGGGAGCTTCCTTCCAGGTTCTGGGACCAGCTCAGCTTCTCTATCTTAGGAGCCTGGGATGGAGGCGGGGAGCTTCCTTCCAGGTGCTGGGACTGGCTGAGCTTCTCTGCCTAGGAGCCTGGGATGGAGGTCTCCCCTTTTTTTATATTGACAGCTTTGTACAAAGCAAGCTTTTTGCCTAGCCACCATAGTCTCCTATGTAAGGTCTGAAGCTTTATGGGATTTAAGCATGTATTATAGTGTTACACTAGTTACAGTGTTTATTTATCAGCTTTCTCATTGGTGGGAAAAAATAACTGATATCCATAAATAAAGGAAGAGAGGTTTAATTTGGTTTAGGTTTTGGGGTTTTAGTCCATGGTCAGCTGGCTTTAAGGCTGAAATGGCACTGTGGAAAGACATGGCAGGGGAAAGCTACTTACTTTGTGGCAGCCAGAAAGCAGAGAGAGAAGGGGGACCATACCATTTCTGAGAGGTGTTGTCAATGTTTATGAACCTTAGCTATAGGAGGTAGCTCAAAAGAAGATTCTGTATGTGAATTCCCAGGGGGAGTTAATTAAGCCAAACAAGCCAAACAGAATAAAGATGGAAAAATTTTATCTTTGACATCTTTCGGTTTGCAAAGAAGTGTGTGGTATATGAAGTATCCCAGGAAGATGAGTTTTCCCCACTAAAGAATGGAAACAGTCAGAATGGGAAGGACAACTCTACAACTGGAAGGCATGCTTTGATGTCCCCTCACCATTACTGGGTCCTCAGTGTGGGGGACCACTTCATAGATGAAAATGGTTCTTGCCTTCCAGCAATTCCCTGCTTGAAGGATACCAATAATGTACCAATCCAGTGTGAACTCTCTCCCCTTAAACTCCTATACTGGAGAAGGACTAGAAAGTTTTGTGGCATATAAAGATTTCTATGCACCTTTAATCATTTATGGGAATGGAGTCCATGAGCCAGTGAAAAATGGTATATGAGTTGTATACCAAGTTCTGCCACAACAGGGGATAACTTATCATTTTTGATAGACCAACTGTGAACCTTACAGGACCTCTCCTGGAACACTGAACTTGGAATATTCACAGGGCTTCATTTTGCTTGCTGAACTCTTAGAACAACTACAAACTTCCCACGATCTAGATGACTATACCTCAGATAGCATTTTTATGATTCTCGGTTCATTAAAGGTCTTATTTATATTTTTCAGTTGTCTGGTTTACTTCCAAGTCAAGAAAAACATTGGCCATCTAGGAAATTTCTTATACCTCAAGTATAGTCCGGATGTTCAACATCACTTTACTTGGAGCTGGAAGCTTTTGTTTTTGAAGCTGTACATAGTAATATGTCGCTGTACGTGTCAGAAGGTTTCTTTATTTGTTTTTGTTTGTTTTACTTTATTAAGCATTAAACTTTTTAAGAAAATACTTGGACAGTAAAATAAACTTACCTTCTTGTCTCTGGAAGAAAAAAAGAGTAGGGAAAGATTACAGTATATTTTTAGTTTCTGTAACCAGCCCTGCAGAAGAGAAATTCTGGTTTCTGTAGCCTGCCTTAGGGAGGAAAAAAAGCAGGTGAAAGGAGAACAGGAGAAGGTCAGAGAGAGACACAGACAGACAGACAGACGAGAGACAGAGTGACAGAGACTGAGACTGTTTTCTGAGGCTAACCCACCTCAACATTATAACAAAAGACTGCCAAGTCTAGTGTTCACGTTTTTCACTCTAAAATTGTTTTGAAACTGCTTCAGAAACTAAGGACCAAAGGCCACATACTTTAACATTATTATTCCAGTCATTTAGGAAATAACAAGAGCCATTGGAATCATAAGCCAGGAAATATGGATGAAAACCAAAATATATCAGTCATAATATCACACTGACACAAGTTGCAAGAGACAAAGGAGACATAGCAGCTAGATGCCACATGGGATAGTAGCATGTGGGAAAAGACATTAATGGAAAACTTTCAATCCAAATAAAGACTGTGGCTTAGTGAATAGGATTGCACCATTGTTAACGTTGGGTTTTGATTAAATGTGCTATGGTTTCTTGAGACATTAACATCAGGAGGAACTGGATAAAGAGAATTTGGGAACTCTACTATTTTTGCAACTTTTATAAATCTCATAGTACAGTATTTCAAAGTATAAAAAGATTTTGTTTTTCAAAAAGAATGACCTTGGATTTTGCCAGAGAGCATTGGACCTTGGACCTTCCACTTACTGTCTGAGTGACCTTGAGCAAATTAGTTAAATCCTAAGCCTCTTCCTTTTTAGAATAGAGACACTCATTGGATTGTTGTGACCATTAAAAGAGATTGTATGTTGAAGGAACTATAGATTTTAGCTGTTATTTTTAAGATACATTTCTCCATGTGTTTAGTGTTTTATCTTTCTGATAGAAGTGTTCTTCAGGGCCAGGGATTTAGCTCAGTGGTTCTGCCACCTGCTTGGCAAGCTCAAGGTCCCGAGTTCTATCCCTGGTACCAAAATAAATAAATAAATAAATAAAATAATAATAATAATAAAGATGTGTTCTTCAAATGTCTGGCAGGTTTTGTTTGTATTAAAGAGCATTTGGAAGCTGTTTAAGTAGTGAGGTTTAGAGGCTGGTGAATCTGACTCTAGGTGCCCAGATGGCCAGTGAGTGCTTTGTGTTGTAAACCCCAGATGATAGTCTTAGGTCTTTTTGCTGGGTTCAGGTATGAATCCTGCCAATAGGTATGAGCCCATCTTCCTGGATTCTGGAGCTGGGTGGGAGGCTATTCACTGTACAGCTTTCACTCACCCTGACTTCAGGCCACACCTCAGCTCTCCCTTCCCCAGCTGGTTCCCTTTTGGTCCAGCTATTCCTGAATTTTTGTCCTTTCTCCAGGAGTCTGCTGATTGTGCCGGAGGGGTAATAACTGTCTCATTTGTTGTTTATTCATGTCATTTCCCACCCTGTCCCCCTACTCAGCTGTCTTCCTAGGGGCTCTCTAGCTTTCCGGGATCTGGAGAGGGAAGCAGCTCCTTCTCAGTGGCTTCTCATTTTCAGACACAGGGCTGAGGCCTTTTTCCTCCAGTCCTCTGAGCAGTGTACCATCCTTCCCGCCTTCATGGATTGTGGTTTGGACTGCTAGAGGTCCTGTAACGTATCACCTTGGACTCTGTTTTGTCTCATGGTTTCCTTGTTTGGGATGTGATTTCTCAAAAAAAGAGGTCACAGAGAGATCTTTGCCACCTCAGAATCTTACTGCTCTTTGCCTCCCATTGAGAGGTCCATTTAACCTCTGAGGCTTTTCATTCCCTTGTTATTTTAGTCAGAGCTCAGCTGCATGGAAGGCAGCTGCACATGTTCCTTCCCAACCAGTGAGCTGGAGAAGGTGCTTCCACAGACCATCCTGTACAAATACTACGAGCGAAAAGCCGAAGAGGAGGTCGCTGCAGCCTATGCTGATGAGCTTGTCAGGTGAGTTCACAGAGTCTCCCCAGTGTGAAGACTGCCTGGATGCTTTGTTTGGGTGAAGACAATTCTTTAAGAATGCTACATCCTGCAGGTTTTCTGGCATTTACTAAGAAATAAGATAGTTAATTTTATTAACAGAAAAATCTATAGATTGAGTCTTTTATCTACGTGCCTTGCTACCTCCTCATATACTGGCCTATGAGTACAATCATTGTACCCTGAGTTAGAGATAAAATGACTTGGGCAAGGAATTCTCATAAAGGTTGGGATATATTTATTGAGGGACTGGCACTGAGTAAGGACCTAGAATGGCACCTGTGTGTCCTGGAAAGAACCAGTACAGAGAAGAGGCTCGGTTCATGTTCTATACAAACTGAGGAATAAAAATCCAGTTTTGTTTTGTTTTTCTGGTACTGGGGATCAAACTCAGGACCTCACACTTGTGAGGCAGGTACAGTGCCACTGAGCTAAATTCCTGGCCCCTAAAAATCCAGTATTGCTGTCTAGTTTAGAACTCCCTCTTAGTAGGAACTTTCATGCTGAAAGACTTCATGCTTAGTAGGCATTCATGCTGAGTCCTGCTGCTTCTGCTGTTTTGTCTCCAGGTGCCCCTCCTGCAGCTTTCCTGCTCTGTTGGACAGTGATGTGAAGAGGTTCAGCTGTCCTAACCCTCGTTGCCGGAAGGTAAGAAGGCAGTATCTTTCTGCACATATATTTGAATTCTGGTATTATGGGCAACCCTGATGGCCATTGTGTATCTGCATGCTGATACATGAGAAAATTTGACTGCTCTTGTTTTCGTGAAAGCAGAGGTCGGTACTTTGTGGTGGTGGTTGACATGGTTGCAGAGAGGGGGCCAGTTCTAGATTTTCTGTGACAAAGCTCTGAATCCCAGTTTTATGTCTTCTACATGCAAAGACAAATGCTGTCATACCCATTGTGAAGTATTCTGTTTTTCTTCACTGAATCTTCAATTTTCTTCTTGCCCTTTTCCTTACCTTCTGCTCAAATGCTAGCCCCCACCCCCACTCACATGCAAACTTCTTGCCATTCTCAAAGTCAAAGCAACACTCCTTTAGCTAAAGAATTAGGCAGCACAGTAGCCTCTCTCTCGTGTCTGGTAGGTTTTCCATGTGACTGTTCTTAGAACTCATTGTATCAGGTGAGACCAGAGCCATCTAGTCACCTTACTGCTACAGATCTTTCTTCCCTTTAACTAGGTTCCCATTCTGTGAGCTAAAAGTGTCTTCAAATTTGTCATTTGTAAGCCACTTCAGAGTTTTTAGTGAATATTGGCATCCACCTAGGCAAATGTGGCTTAGGCCCTTTTCCTAAAACCGTATAATCAGAACTGAACATTGCAGTATTTTGTAGAGGAAAGAAATTGAGGTATATATTGGAAAAGAAGGAAGAAACTAAAGTAGTAAACTGAAACTTTACCCCTTTTGATTTCAACATTAATATTTCTGTGTGAAACCTGTGTTCTCACATCTGATGAGGTCGTTTGATCATCTGTCTCTACCCTACCCAGGCTGTGGGGAGTGGTAACAGTTGTCCTCATGGTATCTAGCATACTTGAACTAAGAAAGCGTAGTAACTGACTGACCTTGTGTGTATGTGGAGTGTGTCAGGCACTGAAATGCCTGGGAAGGTGATATCTGAACTGAAATGCAGAGGAAAGAGGGAAAGGATGGGAGATGGCATGAAAATGGAAAAATGTTCCAACCCAAAGAAGCAGAAGCAGCCTGGACCACTGACTGGTAGCAGAGTTACAAAGGAGGCTCGGGAGCTGGGTGTGTGCAGGGCCCTGAAGCCACTCTGAGAGGGAGAGGTAAATACCAAGACCTGTTTGGCTGCTCGGTAGTCCAAATGAGAAGGGTACATTGCTGCCAGCTCCTCAGGGGTCTCTATGTATTGGGTGGAAAGCTGAAAACTACATTTCCTGGTAGGATTCAGTAATGCGGTCCAGGGAGAGTACTGATACTCTATTTGGAAGCCTAAAGAGAAAGGGAGTCCCGTTATACTCCAGAGACATTGAGAAACAGCAGGAGGGTATGCCCAAATCTGAGACAGTGCCCAGTGAGTATGTAGAACATCAGCTTGGGTTGTCTGTGGGAGCTTCTAGTGACATCAAAGACCCCAGGTAGGAACACCAAATACTCCTCTTCCTGTCTGTGGAGGAATATACATGCCTAGGTGAAATTGGAAATAGCCATTTTGTTTCTTTTGGCCAGTGAAATGTGGGTGTGAATAGATTGCTTCCAGAGAAAAAACAAGAATAAATGCAGCAGTGGAACTAGCATACACTCACTCACTGTTGCCTTCCCCAAGCTCAGTGCAGAATAGGCAGTAGGAAATTCCTAAATTCCTGCTTCTCTCTGGAGAGGGAAAGAGCGTGAAACTAGCATTCTAGCTTTTCAGGATCCTGCCCAAGACAGAACAGGATCTGGTAGTCTGCATGTCTTTGTGTCACTGAGAACAAAGAATGTCATGCAGCTTATGCTCCTCCAGAGGAGCCAGGGTATAGTAGACAGAGCCCAGTATACTTCAGAAGCCTCTCCCCTGGGTGATAGGAAAAGGAAGAGAAGAATGGATCATGTGTCCAGTGTTCCAGCTTCCCCAGGGCTGCCCAAGGGACTAGTTTCTGTCTTGCCCAACTGGGAGTACTGATTGGACTCAGCATACTCTAGAGGCCTGGGGCTACTGAGACCAAAAAACAAAAACACTGACAGCAACTCCAGAGACCCAGCAGTACCTCGGACCAGACAGGAGAAGAAGCAAGAGGTTACATACTCAGGAGGGCTGCAAAACCTCTCTAACTGGGAATTTCCATGCACAGACTCAGAAAAGACACATTCATAGGAAAGGCTTGAGAGGCCCCCAGAATCTCAACGATTGGTGAAAGTCTTTCCCTGTACAAAGCTATTCTGTAAGGACTGGGAGGGGTGACTCTTTTTCCAAATATGTAGATCCAAACATAAAAGTAACAAGGCCCGCACACACAAAAAGATCCAATCAAAGGAATGAAATACTTACCTAGAAACCAACCCTGAAGAAATGGATGTGTATGAGTTCCTGACAAAAGATTTGAAATAACAATCATGAAAACAGTCAAAAAGCTTGAGAAACTATTGCATGAAGAGAATCAGGACATCAACAAAGAGAAAAAAATTTTTTTTTTAAATTCTGGAGCTAAATACAAAAACTGAAATGAAAAACACCCTAGAAGGATTCAGCAGACTTAAAGCCGAAGAATCAGTAAACTGAAAGTAGTTCATTTGAAATTATCCAGCCCGGGGAGCAAAAATTAAAAGAATGAGTATGAAGAAAGCCTAAGGGACTTAACAGTGGTTATCAGGTAGACCATTACACACACTTTGGGAGTGTGAGAAGAGGAAGAGGGAGGAGTGGCCAAAAGCTTATTTGAAGAAGCAGTGGCTGTGAGCTTACAAAACTGGGGAAGAAAATGGACATTAAGATTTAAGAAGCCCAGTAGATCACCAACTAAGATGAACCAAAGAAGCTGGGCGTGCTGGCACATGCTTCTAAATCCCAGCATTTGGGAAGCTGAGACAGGAGGATTGCTGTGAGTTCAAGACCAACCTGGCTACATAGTGTGTGCAAGGCTAGCCCGAAGTACATAGTAAGACCCTATCTCCAAAAAAAGACCAAGAAGATAAGATGAACCAAGGAAGACTACACCAAGGCATATATTCCAGTTTGCTACATCTGCAGATTTTGGTGTTGTGTGGGGGGTGTCCTGGATCCAGTTACCCTGGATATGAATGAATGACTGTTTATCCACCCAAAATTGGTATACCCAAATAAATGAGGCAAATCTTGAACTGAAAGGAGAAATAGATAACAACACAAAAACAGGATTTTTTAGTGTCACATTTTCATTAATGGTAGAAAAACCAGAGGAAAGAGTAATAAGGAAACAGCTGACCTCACCAACACTAAGACCAAAAGGAGCTAATATGCATATACAGAACTTTCTACCTCACAGGAGCAGAAGACATACTCTTCTCAAGCACAGGGGGAATTTTCCAGTATAAAGAATTAGATCACACAGATGTTAGATATTGGTCCTACAGCTGTAAGAAGATTGACATCTAATTACATATTTTATCCTCCTCACCATGAAATGAAACTAGAAATCACTAGCGGCAAGAAAATGGAAAAATTCACAAATATGTGGAAACTAAACAGCAAACTGGGAAGCTTTTCTGCTGAGATCAGAAGCTAGGTAAGGGTGCCATGATGTAGCATTCCTATGCTAGAACAGATAGCCAAGGTATCAGCTTCTGAAGAAGAAAGGCTTGTTTGGCCCAGGCTCTGGAGGCCCTTCCATGATCATTTGTTGACCCCATTGTTCTGGGCCTGTTGTACCTCATGCCAGGAGTGCAAGGCAGAGCAAACCAGTTGCTGTGTGGCCAGGAAGCAAAAAAGAAAAAAGACTGTTCCAAGTCCCTTTGAAGGCACATGCCTGCCAGTGACCTAGGGGCCTCTCTGAGGACAAGCCCTTTAATACCCAGGTCTTTAGGGAACAAAGGCCAGACTGCAGCACCCCCTCTTGCCTCTTCTGTTCAGCATAGTACTGGAAGCCCTAACTGGAGCAGTCAGGCAAGAAAAACAGAAAATGCCCATACCAGAAAGTAAGAGAGAGAATCATCTGTTCACTGATAGCCTGATTTGTGTGTGTGTGTCTTTTTTTGATGTTGAGGATTGAATCCAGGGCCTCACACGTGCTAGGTAAATGTTCTACCACTGAGCTATAGCCCTAGCCCTGACCTGGTCTTATGTGTAAAAAACTAAATTTTCCACAAAATAGCTGTTAGAGATGACAAACTCAACAAAGGTGTAGGATACAAAACCAGCAGATCAGAAATCAGCCATGTTTTTATATAGTAACAATGAACAAATCAGAAAGGAAATTGAGTCCAATTTATAATAGCATCAAAAATAAAATTCTTAGGAATAAACTTAACCAAAGGTGGAGGAAAAACTTGTGCACTGAAAATTACAAAACACAGCAGAAAATAACTGAAGAAGCTACATATAAATGGAGAGACAACTGATGTGTATGAATTAAAAGGCTTATATTAAGATGTCCATATGCCCCAGGGTTGTCTACTGATTCAGTGCTGTTATCAAAATCCCAGCGTTCTTTGTAGAAGTAGAAAAAAATAGTCCTAAAACTCAAATGGAACCACAAAGGACCCCAAAGAACAGAAACAATCTGAAGAAGAAAACTGGAGGCCTCACACTTCCCTGACTTCACAGCATATTACAAAGTTATAGTAATTTTTTTTTTTTCGTACCGGGGATCGAACTCAGTACCTGGAGCTTGCAAGGCAGGCGTCGGAACCACTGAGCTAAATCCCTGGGCCCGTAGTAATCAAAACAATATGGTATGGGGCCGGGGATTTAGCTCAGTGGTTCCATTGCCTGCCTCGCAAGCGCAAGGACCTGAGTTTGATCCCCAGTACCAAAACAAAAAACAAAAAAAACAATATGGTACTTTCATAAGCACATATAGATCGATGGGACATAATAGAGAACTCAGCAGTCAGTCCGCACCCTGAGACTCAGCTGAGTTTCCACAATACACACCGAGGAAAGGACCATCTTGGGAAAGCTGGATGTGCACCTGCAAAAGAATGAAATTGGACCACGTGTCA